ATATTGTGTGTATTTAAGTAACAATTTTTCATTGATGCATGTTTTATTAAATAATATAGACAAGTTTTGTCTATTTATTTTAAGTAAGTTCCTTTCATATTGTCTGATAAGCTTAATAACATTATTGTTGAAAGACGAAAGGAAATCACCATATTGATACATGTTTAAATCCAATCTAAGCTTTCGGCTTACATAAGCCATTATCGAAGATGACAATTACTTTTCATTATATCAAACAATACATGGAACAATAATGTAGTCCGTTTGTTTTGATTTTGTTTTTTTTTTGCATGAAAAATTTCAAGGCAACGACAAACTCGTGTATACGAGACGCGGAAGTGAAAATCGCGTCGCAGCTCGTGACGTCACACATGAAAACGCTAGAGTGAAAACGAGAAGTATTAAGTATGGGATGCCGTTGGTATAAACCAATGGCTTCTGTTATCAATTATAGGCATTTAAGAATGTTTGTGGAGATTTCGTAGTTTATTTTGTTCAGATTAGCCATTGGTTTATACCAAAACTTGTCTGTATTATTTAATGAAACTTGCATCAACATATATATATATATATATATATATATATATATATATATATATATATATATATATATATATATATATAGGTAGCATATCATCATTCAAGCGTGTTTGGTTGAATAATCTGGGCATATTATATTTATTTATTTTTGTTTTAATCCTCTCGAATTCTCTGATTGACTTCTTAATGTTGACATTAGATTCATTAAGAAAGGCACTGTAGGTTTTTTTACTTTCTTTTTATTTTTTTTTTATTTTCCCAAGTACTTTCATTCTCATCAGAGATCATCTTCAAGGGTGAACTGCTAAGTCAAAAAATCAATGTAACTAATAGTTGGGATTTTTTTTTTTTTTGTAAATACGCATTAAACACGATCTGTTATAATATGTTCCATGCGTGTATACAAAATCGATCCTGATTTGTTATCTCGACTTCAGTCACTTTTTCACAGACGCTTTGTCGCTTCCCTTTGTCATTTCTGGAAATATTTTCATGGCAACTGCGCTGACGAGCCTTTTCCCCTGGTGTCCGACTAAGTGAATTAACCGCGCTGCTAGATTGGCATCTAAGCCCCAACCTTTTACTGCCGAATGAGTTAAATGTAACAGAAACTTCTACTTCAAGTTTCTATTCTTCCATCTGTGGAACTACCTTCTGTTTACTTGCTTTTCTGATAACTACCATCTTGGAAAATTTAAATGCAACGTCAATCACCATCCTCTGTTGTCTTGGAGCCCGTTCATTTTTTATCCTTTCCTCACACCCCCTATAATTTATCTTTTCTCACAGTTTCGCTCTCTGGAACCCCCTGCATATTAGTGAAACTCCCTCCTTGCTTGGGGGTGAAATGATTAAAAAAAAGAAAAAAAAAAAGAAAAACTCCCATTCTATTGACATCTGTATCTTTTCGAAAGTGACTTTTAATCGTGTCAAGTGGATAAGTATAAAAGGTATTGCTACACTTGAAAGGACATGCATTGAACATTTACATACTACAAGACAGGACACTAAACACCGCTCTAACCAGGGTCTGTGTAAGAGTCTCGTGGAACCCTACAGAATCTATGAGACGCCCCCCACCCCGTTACTATGATACGGCCCCACTCTATTACATCTCAATTTCTAGAAGGTTGTATTCATATAAAATACAAATTTCATTTTAACCTAATTTATGTACAATAACGGCTCATATGCAATGTAGGTGAACAAATCGTTAAGAAAAACTGAAAATAAATACAATGTATCTAAATACAAATTAGAGACATGTCATAATAGATCATTCCATCTGAAATAAATCAACAATGTTTTGCGGTAATTCTTAACATCAACTTGAGATGTTTCTTGTTAAAAAGTTGAATAATTTTAACCTATTCAACATTATGGATTAAAAATAAGGAAACTTTATATAGTGTTTCAATCGAGACGGAGCATGGCCGAAAGAAATTCACAGATTTAGACAAAAAAAATGAATCCACCGTAATGACATCAATATCACCGAAAATTTTTCATTCTTTAATAATTACTTGTGTTTAGATTAATTTATAACGTATATAAATGTAAGTAGAAAAATCAAATAAAATGGCATGGGTCACATAGCGCCGCTCAGTGCCCCAATCAGGTTGGCGGGTTCGCAGGTAGTACGCACCGGCCCAAGTTCTAACAAACCTGCAGCCTTCACAAAAAGTGCTGATCCTTCTTTAATATGTGAAAAATGTTTTGTCTGTCTCAAGAAAACGACGGGAGAGGCAATGATATGTGTGTGTGTGTGTGTGTGTGTGTGTGTGTGTGTGTGTGTGTGTGTGTGTGTGTGTGTGTGTGTGTGTGAAGTGTGTGTATATAAATATAAATAAATATACATAATTATTTATATATTATATGCGCGGTACTTATTAGAAAGCGCTCAATGCTTACGGTCAAATCACGCTGAAAACACCGGTTCTCGTTCGATCAACGAAGTTAAGCATCGTAGAGCCAGGTCAGTACTTAGATGGGGGACCGCTTGGGGCACCTGGTACTGTAAGCCCCAAAGTCCAACCCTTACCTCACAGTCGGTGGGGGGGGGTAAACGGTAGTGTCAGAGCTATGCCGTCCGGAACTTCGTTCCTGGTAGGGCCACCAAAGGCGGACAGGTCTGACACACGCCGGCTAACAAGGGCTCTGGTGAAAATCAAGGAGCGTCTGCATCGGCAACCGGCGGCTTCTGGTCGTTCCTGTCTCTGCGTCTGTGGGAACCCCGCGGCAAGCAAGAACGTTATCCGAGTAGGCCTGGGTACCCTACTTCTGTAATTTATCCCAAGATCTTCTTCTCACAACAGGAAGAAGCCGGCTCAATCCGCCCAGGGTGAATGCCGCATCACACACAAAGCGCTCAATATCAGAGATAGAGCTAAATAATTTTTACCTATCATAATTTTACACAGACCCCACCACACGTATATACATACATGCGAGGAAATATTATTCAGTGAAGAAATAGAAAAATGCTCTGACTGCTGACATGTATACATTCACGAGAAATTTTTTATGTTTGTATGAGCCCCAGCGGTCGAGCGAGTGCATATGTGTGTCTGCGTACCTCATCGGGTGTACGGACATGCATCTATGTTTGCGTTAGTATGAGTGACATCACGACGACGATTCCCCCCACTCCCATAATGACACCAATACATGCAATCTACATAAATTCAAAATTTTTAAAAAATTAATCAGTTTGACGATCGCAAAAGCGTGAAACCCAGGGTCACAAACTCACATCAATCCAACCAAATATATATATATATTTCGTGTTCAACGGTATAAAGTAAGGTTGCGTGCTGGTCCCTCTTCTCTTTGCACTTTTCTTTTCTGCTATGCTTGAAAAGGAATTCTCTGATTTAAGTGAAGGAGTCAATGTTGAATTTAAATCAAGTGGAGTTCTATACAATCAGGAACGTTTTAAAGTGCAATCGATACTTGGTCTGCATCTGGTACGTGATCTTCTCTTTGCAGATGATGCCGCTCTATTTACACTGAGTCTAGAAGACATTCAAACTATCCTTGATAAATTCTCGAAAACGGCGAACGCATTTGGACTTACTATCAACATAAAGAAGACTGAGCTAATGTACCAGCCTGTACCAGGCAATCAATCCCTCACAAATTCTTCAGTATTCATTGATACGGCATTAAAAACTGTTGAGGCGTTCACATATCTTGGATCAACAGTCTCTTCTGATGGAAAAATGGACAGAGAAATCCAATCCAGAATAGCCAAAGCCAGCACAGCATTTGGCAACATAGGTTATGGAACATCAAAGACGTGTCTCTCAGAGTAAAGATCGATATATACAGATCAGTCTTTCTCTCAACCCTTTTCTATGGTGCTGAAACTTGGACCTTGTACTGCAAAGACATAAATCGACTTGACACCTTCCACATACGCTGTTTTCTTACCATATGTGATATAAAATGGGATGACAGGGTCAAGAATAGGACAATTCTGAAGAAATGTATCAACATCACAGGCATTGAAACCATTCTAGCAAAAATACAACTTATGTGGGCTTGTCATGTTGTGAGAATAGATGAGCATAGGCTTTCAAAAAAGGTGTGTATGGACAACTACCAAACTCCAAGCGTTCAGTTGGACGACGACTCTTATGTTACAAAAACAAATTGAATGAAAGACAACTTGAAACGTCTCAACTTTGATCTGAAAACCTGGGAAGCTCAAGCATCAAACCGAAAGGAGTGGCATAAGACATGTTTCATTAAGTTAAAGGGTTTTGAGGGCAGTAGACTGAAGCAACGTGATCAGCTTCGCCAAGCTCTGAAGCAAAGACGACATCAAAATCCTGCTTTAACAAATTCAATCTGTCAGTATAGCTTTGTCGCCCGCAGCAAGGCTGGGCTAGTATCACACTTAAGAAAGCCCAAATGAAATATATCTTTCTCTTACCTGATTTTCTCCACAATAGCCCCTGCTAACATGCATAAGTGCAAAATGAAAGGCACCATCCAATGCTGACTCTCATTTATTGTTTACGATAGGATTGTCCAACATATATATGTATATAGACACACACACACACACACACACACACACACACACACACACACACACACACAGAGAGAGAGAGAGAGAGAGAGAGAGAGAGAGAGACATTGTTATATTTTGTAAAATTTGCTGTATTTATGGGGCAACATTGTACAACATTGGAGATAGAGCGTTTATAGATATAGACTGTATGGACATAGGAATTATCACTGGTTGGTGAATGTCACTTTAACATTTCAAGGTCGTTTGCGGCATAAAACTGACAGTCGCCATGCAATGTTGAGTCATGTGCCTACATTATTTAAGCTATTAATGCGTATTATCTATTATTACTATAAATATTGTTTTTACTGTGTATGTCTACACAAACACGTATACTCACTAAAATAAAAATCATAGTAACACATACACTTACACACGACGA